GGCAATGCGGTTTTACAGACTGAGCTCTAGATTGGTAGCAGCCTCATATTTAGTGCATAAAAAGTACAGAGACTGCTTTTCTTTTGTCATTTGCTTAGGTGTGGGTGTTTTTGTTTGGGGTTTGTTTGTTTGTTTGCTCGTTTCACTCAGCCTGTAGTTTCCGGAGCTTGGAATCCTGAGCTAGTCCTGCTCGGCTGCTGAGTTTTGTTAAACTGCAGTTGTCCTCGGGTGGGTGTACCCTGAAAGGGACAGGGTCAAGAAAGGGAGGAAAGAACGACGCTGTTGTCACTTTTAGCCGTTTTTACTTGTAACAGAGACCTTGATGGTTTCCATTCGTTTAAAGGAAGGACTAGCCCAGCCTCAGGTTTTTCTGCTGTTTTCTGATATCGAGTTTGGTGACGACAGCCCCTCTCTGGACGTTTGGTGCTGAAAGCCTCTAGCTTCAGGGACTTCACCACAGGCGGGAGACCGTGAGTCAGACTCCTTTGGGGTTTGTTTTGAGTGGCGCGTTGACCTCTAGGTAGGCTCAGACTGAAGTCGTTTGAGCACAGAAGGCTTCGCAATTGTTAACCTTCGGAAGAGGATTCTGAGCCACCTTTCCTCCGGGGCCTTCCGCTGGCGGCTTTAGTGGAAATCCGGCCAGCCTGGGCCACCCCACAGGACGGGGCCTCGCGTAGGTGGCCGTTTCTCAGAAGCACAGTGTGTGGTTTTCAGGAGCGTGCATGCTATTAGCCGAGAGCAGGGCTAGGCAGATATCAGCCAGCACTGTGCAGACAGCGTGGACTTACGTGTCTAAGGAGACTCTTCACCCCAAGACCACAGGAAAGGAGAGGATTTGCTGTAATGAGCTGGCTTGTTGTTGGTCTGGTTGTTATACGAGTGTTCGTGCAGCTGCGCCGTGTGTGAGGTTCTGGGTAAGGGCCTGCGAGGCTGGCCCGGGAGCAGGCAGTGTCTGGGGGCTGGCACGTCCCTACCCGATGGTCTGGGCGTCTTCCTTCCCTGAGAGACTCTGCAAGGTTGGGGACTCCCGCTTGGTGGTTCAGCAGGCAGAGGTTTTGACCACGGGGAGGCCACCAAGTAAGGCTTTCTCTCTTCTCAGCACTGCTTCTGGCTTCTTTTTCTCGGTGCTGTGGACACCCGGCCATTGTCCAGCCTGAGTGGCTCTGGTGGGTGTGTGTTGGGAGAGGTGGGCGCAGGGTTACCCAAGTGAAATCCAAAACCACAGCCTGGACAACCAGGGCGTCCTGTGGCCCTAACTAATAATGTGAGTCCTTACATAACTGAAATGATTGCAAAGAGAGATAAAGACCCCCCACCCCTGAGCCCCTACGAGATGTGGGACACAGCTCCTTGGGGTCATTTTTGTTAGGTCCCTGGAACTGCCCCGCCCTTCGCTTTCATGTCTCTAAGTTTCGTTCTTCAAGGGCTGTGGCCCACAGCAGGCTGGGCAGGCTGGGCAGGCTGTGCCTGGAGTGTCACCATGTAACTGCTTCCCCACCGGCCCGAGGTTTCTGTCTCCCCAGGTCTGTTCCCATGAGCAGGCCGTATCCGGAGTAGGACATTGTCACTGGCCTCCTAGGCTAGGACAGATGCCAATCCATCCCTATAAAAACAACACCCAACTGCCTCTCGGTGCTGACACCATTTTTCTCGGCTCAGCCCGTCAAGTGTTCTTGCTAATAAATCATCCTTTTCTACCTTTGTCTGGCTAGCATCTCCTTCCTTGGTGACCTTCCACTATTGTCTCTTCCAGCACGTCCCCACGCCATTGGAGTGGGTGCTGTGTATTTCATGTGCAGCTATCTCAGTGCTTGCTTTCTTGAAGGACTGAGGTCTGTGGAGGGTGTGCACCGCATGGGGTCTCGGAGCAGCCACCAGCAGAGTCAGGGTGCACCCCACTGCCTCATCAGAGAGCCACTAAGCTGTACTGAGTCATCGTCCTCAATGTAGGACTCAAGTGAAATCATAGTTGGAGAGTGGTAGTGGCTCTTCTACCCGACAGTCTCCCACCAGCTCTCTTGAGTGGTTCCCCTGTTGGCTCCACATGGAGAAAATGGGGGGCTTCCTGGCCCCCGATTTTGAATCTTCCCATAAATTGCCTTAGTCCACTTTCCATTGCTATAACTGAACGCCTGAACACCACAGACTGGGTAATGTATAAAGAAACAAAATTTACTCAGCTCACAGCTCTGGAGGCTGGGAAGTCAGGAGCAGGCACCGCCATCTGGCGAGGGCCTTCTGGCTGCCTCCTAACGCGGTGGAGGATGTCACATGCGTGCCAGCTCAGGTCTCCCGCAGGTCTCCTTCCTCTTCTTACAAAGCCACTGATACTATCGTGGAGACCCCACCCTGATGACCTCATCTTCGTCCTAAGTGCCTCCCAAAGGCCCCACCTCCAGTCAACATAAGAATTTGGGATTAATTTTCCCACGCTTGACATCTGGGGGACACATTCAAACCACAGCACGGAAGAATATTTAAGTTTTATTTCCTGAAATAGAGACCTTCTTACGTAAAGTTTTGTTGGATGCTGTAAAGAGAAGTCAGAACCCTTCCACAGCCTTTGCACGGGTGGTGTGACCACATTTTTTATTGCTGCAGGGAGCTGGTTATTCACGTCCCGTATAGCAGCATGGACCACCCATCCCCAGTGAGCGAGGTTTTCCTATGTCAGGTTGCTGGACCCCAGTAAAAATGCACACAGTCCTGACCCTGCGTGGTGTTTTGGTCCTCAGACCGTGCAGTCTGTGCACCTGCTGCTGCCACCAGGGCGCTCGTATGATGGACACAGATGCAGACGTCCCCTCCCCTGGTTTCTGGTCTGTCTGCCCTGACAGATGTGACTGCTAACTGCAGTTCTGTCTCACCTCCCAACATGTCCATAGGGGTCTTAGAAGACACAGAGGAAATGCCCTTTTAGACACACCTGATGAAGTCTTTCAGAAAAAAATAATTTAGCCTTTCGAGTATTGTCTTAATTTTTCTGTTTAATCTTGGTTTCTTGCATTGAGTCGGGCATGTGACTCCAGTCCTTCAACTGGCCAGGGTGATCAGGGAAGTGCCTGGTCAGAAGGCGTGTCTGTGTCACAAGAGGGACTAAGAGCCGGCTGCGCACCATGCCTCTCCCACATGTGGATGCAGAGGGTCGTTTGTGTGTGTGTGTGTGTGTGTGCATGTGTGTGTGTGTGTGATGCATGTATGGATTGTATATGTGCGCACCATGCCTCTCCCACATGTGGATGCAGAGGGTCGTTTGTGTGTGTGTGTGTGTGTGCGTGTGTGTGTGTGTGTGTGATGCATGTATGGATTGTATATGTGTGTGTAGGTATAGCATGTATGTGTGTGCATGTGTCTATTGCATGCGTGTGTGTGCTGTGCACATGTGTGATGCATGTATGGATTGTATATGTGTGTGTGTAGGTATAGCATGTATGTGTGTGCATGTGTCTATTGCATACGTGTGTGTGTGCATGTGTGTATGTATTGTGTGTGCGTGTGTATGTGTGTGTGCTATGTACATGTGTGCATGTATGTATGGATTGTACATGTGTGTGTAGGTATAGCATGTATGTGTACACATGTGTCTATTGCATACGGGTGTGTGTGCATGTGTGTATGTATTGTGTGTGTTGTATGTGTACGTGTGCATATTGTATGTGTTTACATGTGTGCATATGAGTATCGTGCATGTGTGTGTGTACACATGCACACATATGTTGGCATGGGTGGTGCCAGGCACTGCAGGTCCCATCATCCTGCAGGTAAATTCCGTGTGGAAGCTGGTGAGCGGTACCTTCCCGGGGGGTTCCCACGTGGGCCAGTTGGTTGCAGGCTGGAGAGAGTCTGTGGGCAGCTGTGAGGTATCATCTGTCACTTGACCATCCTTGGTCCCTGCCATGGCAGTACATACAGTGCCTGCGAAGTGTACCAGGTGGCTGAGGCCTGCTTATGCACAAGGACTATCATAATTTTTACAGTTTAAGGGGAGGTATTTTTTTTTTCTGGATGGAAAAAGCCCAGGCGTGTCCTGGTACTCTGTCACCTTAAGTTTAGAGGCAGGTGACGTGCCTGGTGCCTGTTAGATGTGACGTTAGAGCTGAACTGTGGGTGTGGACACGACGCAAGCGCACAGCTCGTGAGAAGTCCAGGGGGAGCATCTCACCGGTGGATAATGACGGTGCTACTGGGACACGCGTGGTCTTGGCAGAGAATTTACATCTGTATCCAAAATAGACCAGGACTCATGCTTGTCTCAAGATTTCTGGTCCAAATCTGAGAAATGTTTCCTGTGAACAGACCTTCTTGAACCTGAAGATTCAGGATGTGTCGACATCTCCACTATAGAAAGTTCCAGACTGTGTTCTGGAAAGATGCAACCCCTCCCTGGGTCTCCTTCAGCAGTTGAGAGCACAGGGGGCCCGGGCTGGAGTTGGCGGGGGGCGCCCCGCCCTGCAGGGGACAGCGGTGGCTGCAGAGGCCCCCCTGGCTCCCTCGGTCACCCGAGTCTCCTCACCCTTCAGAGATCTCGTTCCGTGTGTGGCAGTGCGGTGGCAGCCTGGAGATCATCCCGTGCAGCCGCGTGGGACACGTGTTCCGGAAGCAGCACCCCTACACCTTCCCGGGGGGCAGCGGCACTGTCTTTGCCCGGTAAGTAGCAGGAGGCTGAGGGGGAACAGGGCGTAGGGGACCACCATTGAGACAGGACTGACCTTGCTTCGTGTAGAAGCAGGTGTCCCTCACAGTCATCGCACAGGCACATGACACAACGCCACTCAGCAGTGGCGAGGAACACACACTAGCATGCCCGGTGGTACATGCCGTGGGCTGCGTGAGAGGACGAGCTGGTGTCACACGGCCACGTACAGGATTCCGCTTCCACGACGGGCTCAGAAAGACACGGCTCTAGGAGAGGGGTACGGAGCAGTGGCCTTCGGGGTTAGGGTGGGGGGTGACCACAGTGGCAGCGCTGGGGGTGGGGGGTGTGTCTGTCATCCCGATTGTGGCAGCAGCTGCGTAAACCTACACGCCTGTGAACGCTCTTAGAGCCGTACAGCCCCAGAGAATGTTATGGGAAAACATCTTAAA